ACCAATTCACAATTCTAATGTATCCTAACAACGAATTTACATATTGCCGTTTTAAAACGCAAATACTTACACATTAATTTATGAAATTATTCAGATGGTGTTTTATGATAAAATTGTTTTATTTTATTCTTTGCGCTGCGAAAATGAGAATCAGTTTTCAAACCTGCCAAAAATGTTTGTGCTTCGTCCCCCTGGCGAGTTTCAACCTGATATCTGAGAAGAAGGCGTGTTGGAAGTAAGAGGTGTGGTTATCGATATCTCAACAACGCGCGCACAGCACCAAGCGTGAACCCAGGTCAGCACGCGCGATCTGCTTCCGAAACTCCGCCTTATCGTCATGCTAATTAGCAAACCACGTAACTCCATATTCCCTGCTCTTGTTTGTTTACTTCATGATAAAATATAATTAATAAAGAATAGTAATAAATAAAAGTAAATAACAAATCGAGCATCTTCAGTAAGTTGAGTTCCCCAGTATTTGTAAGTTCACCAAGAAAGGAAACGAAAATTTTGCTTACCGGCCACGTTTATTATTTTCAATGCAAAACTGTCCAATCTGGAATTACGAGGTAAGTACTAACAATTACTATGACGTTATATCTCTTAATTTTTTTATCGCTTCTCTAACCATAGTCCACTAGTCTGACTAACAGCTAGAGGCACTTCGACAATCCATATGGGAGCTAGCGAACGAATAAACGAAGTTTCACATTGTGGCCGCTGGAGCGCTGGTCGCCGACCAACCACGAGACCTGGCCGCTTGAATACACGGGAAAATGCTCGCACTTCGGGCAATCGAGGTCACCTACATTGTAAAGAGGCATTGTAAAGTCACGTTGATAGTAATACTAAAATTATATATCTGTGTGCCGTTTGCTTAAAAGAAATTGGGAAGTGAATACTTGAAATTAATTCTCAAATAGCATGCGTGAAATCTACCTTGATGAGGCAGAACGTGGCATTCGTTTTGAGGTATAAAATACATTATTTATTATTAATTATTTCTGACATTTACCTGCATTTTTAAGTGTTTATAAAAAACTCTAATGCACCTAATGTCTTTAAACTTTTTTTAAAGACAATGGATAAAAACGAAAAAGATGGCAAAATATTATTTTATCAATTTTTATACCTCCACTTTTTACATTTTCAAACTGTATTGATTCCTTACTCTTTGTTACACGCTCAAAAAGTATAAGTTTAAAATAGTAGAACTGTTGTTGAAGAAAAATATCACTAAATAACTGGAAGAAACTAGTTCAAAATAGACGACCGTTGATGATATAAATAAATACTGATATTGCTTTAAATAGCTCGCAGGAAAGTTCACTCATCAAAAAGCACTCCAAATTACTATTGTCCTCGCAAAAATGTTCTCACCTAGGGATAGAATAAGAGAGAGTCTTACAACAAGCTAATTCATATTGGTTCTCCCATGGACGTAGAAGAAAAAAATTCAATAACAGCAATTGAAGTACATTGTAGAAATTATTTCTAATCCTTTGCGTAGGCCGCTTCCATGTTCCACAACAATGACATACCAGACATCAAAAATAAACATCAACAATCAGACATCTCTTGATCCCCAATGACGTTTGTGAGAAAATATGTTACCTTTTGATTGCAAGGAATTTCAATACGAGAAACAACCAAAGCTGTTTCAGACGATCATTCACAGTACTTAAGCGAACGTGTTATTATTGAACGTAAACAGAATTTGTTTCTGCTAGTTGTGAGTGTTTTTTAAAATGTGTAACGAATTTTGAGAATAAACTGGATTGTTAGGTAGCCAAGGTAAGGCTTACATATTTCATTAACGTTTAGAAATATTAAGAGTTTACGTTAATATTTATTTACTAGGTGAAGATAGTTAGCACTGGTGGTTCTTGACGTGTTAAATACATCAGTCTCATCTTTAAATAACCTTGAAGGTTATTTATTGGTGGAAGAACAATTTATTGTGAATGATGTACCACAATGTCCAAGGTTTGTTGTGAAAAGGAACCTTCAAAAATATATTAACCTTCCTTTGCAAAGAAGCAGTATCCTTGCGTTGACGAGAGCGCAGTAAGATCAATACGATCATTGACATAATTTGTGAACATTTTATATCAGTGATAGTGAAGAACATTGCTGGTGTTACTAATGAAGTAATGCAGAGGCCTAAATACTTTAATCCAAACCTCTAAGTCGAAAAATTCTGTGTTTGTAATGCGGATATGCGTATATTTGCATTCAGCAGCCGATTGAGGAATGGTCAACGAGCAGCGCGCCAACGGCCAGAAACGGGACTTTTAGCTATATGAGACAAGAAGCCGGTTGGAGCGCCGAGGCCTTTATGTATACTAGCGGGCTACGCTCTAATACTTGTCGAAAATGAAAACTACTGAAAAATAATGATTGGTGGATTATTATGTTTCTGTGCGCATCCTCGTCATTAGTCCAGGAAGTGTTGTGCATGTAATATCCCGGGAGGTGGTGGTGTTCATTTCTCGCTTGCACAACCTTAAAAGGAATACCTCAAATGGTCAAATGGCCAAGGATGAAGTAAGCTGTGACTGTGAAGGAAAGTAAGGAAAGAAAAGTAATTTGTATATCGAATGTACGCCGACAATATATGCCGAATTTGGCGTTGATATACACATATGTTTTAGTGTTCAAAGTTCGAATGATAGATATTATAAGAATATTACTATAATTTTCGTGAAACCTGAACTATAAAGATCAGGAATTTCGCTTCAGACAAATAATTAGAGACGACATGTTCCTTGCTTTTATTTACAGGTTTTTAACAAATTCAGTTTGTCACCTGACTGTGGTGGTGATTTCGGGTTTGGTGGTTTCCATCTAATACTTTCAATCCTTTAAATATAAAATGTACGGTTAATTTTAAATAAAGAGATCATGAATTATTTACCAAATAACATTATTATTCTTTCAGATGTGATTAAAGCGTCCTCTTCGTTAGTTCGAGGTTTGTTGTTGTGCTGATGTGTCATGTGATCAATTTCCCACATTCGTGCTCCAACTCCCACGTTTTGCAAACGTCTGGAGAAGCTCTGTAATGAGTAAGGAAAGGAAGCCCTGCAAACCTCGTCCCTCTCACTGCGGATATAAACGCATTCGTGTAGAAATCTGTTTTCCTAGTTGCTGTTAATTATCGTCATCGTGATCGTTGTAAGTGTAGTGCTTACTTAAATTCTCAGTACTTAACTTATTCATTCTCATTTTTATTAACATTATTTATATTATTCAATCGCATTCTTATATATGTTTATATTGCTGCACTGGCTGGTTAGGAGTTCTCTTTAAGGACACCAATTTTACAGCATAATTGCATTCACCTATTATTTGTTCCATGAACGTCTACGAAGAGTGCATACTGGCTTCTCTGAGAAATCAAACAAAATGTAAATACATGTAAATCGATTCCTGTAGCAGTCGATCGTCAATAAAGTGATAAATAACTCAATCAAGAAGCCAAGTAAATACGGAAAATCAGGAAGTTGGCGTGGGAGCAGTTTGTGTAACAACCTACCATGCAAAATCCGTATTCCTTGAAATATTATTTAGAATGAAGAACATCAACGGGAAATCATTTACGAGATACGTAATAAATCAACGTAACACAAGTTATGTTCATCCAAGTAGGTATTAACTGGATTTGGCTAATCGGGAGTAGAACTGCCCCCTTTCCTTATATAATATATCAATGTCAAGTAAATGTTTATGCGTTTCTTTAATATGAAGATGTAATACATACTTATTTAGTATATTTTAGTTATGATTTTCGAATTCTTGAACATCATTAAAATTTCACGGCCCCCTAGAGGCCAGCTACAACTTCACGGCCGTCATGTGGAGTTTGAGTGTTCTTTACTTCAATATTGAATTACATTGGCCATAAATGAAGAATTTGCATCGAGTTGATTTTTTTAATTATCTGGTATTTTCACTAACAGTCTACTTTAAGATGTTTCCATAAGGTTTTTGGAAAGTCCGAAATAGGCCTACATACATACTTAATTCTTCGCGGCTCGCGGATTTTTTGGTAATTTTGAAAACACTCTTGTTTTCTTTGATATATTTTCCCGATAACTTTGTATTATAGTTAATTTACTTTCATTGAGAGCTTCATAGTCATCTAGGAGTGATTGTTAGTTCCTTAAACAATATATAACAAAACAATGTCTATTATTTTAGTCCACTTCAATTAAAGTAGCCAGGCTACTTTTTCTGCTCTAATATGAATTCATCTCTGCTGCCGAAACACAATACACCGACATGGATATACGGATCCTCTAGACCATCGAGGTGAGAGTTCACCTTGTGCAGCCCAATAAAAAAGACTTCTAGCAGCTTTTATTTGATTTTGCAATGCGACATTTTCTAGTTGAATCATTAAACTCTCGTGTCAGCATTGCCTACAGGAGGAATGGACCGTGTTGATTTTGTTAGAAGAAAAAGTATTTAGTCTCGATATTTTGAACTGCAGTCAATTAAGAAATATTCAGAATTTCCTCTAAAAGTACATTAGAAATTTTTTCTTTCCTTGACTCTTCTTAGCAATCGTGATATGTGATATAAAAATATATCCACTCTGATTACGGTAATTTTAAGCTATCCGTGTATGAAATCTTCACCTGAACTATTTCTATCATTAACATTTATCTTCGCAAGCGGAATTCTAGAATAATTTTCCAGAACTTAATTCTAATATCCAGTAAAAAAAGTGAAGGTTAAAAACAGGTACAAAATTTTCCACAGCCGATAAAAAAAATATATTCAGGTTCAATGGTCGTTGTGATTTTCTTTGTATGTGCAAGAACATTATCATACTGCTTGTAGGATACCACACAATATGCTGAAGTGACACAGCTCAGCGAAAAGATTGATGCATAAATTCTCACGTCATTTCAGAATTTACATAGAATAAGATCGTGCGTGAACGCACCATATATAGCTGCGTGCGCGTAGCGTATACGTTTTACTTGCGAGGTAGCGTTGCACTGACCTGTACGTTGTGTGTTCCAGAGCCACCATGGGCTTCATCGCAGTGCTGGAGGAGGCCTTTGAGCGCAACCGCGGTAAGTGCTTATCACGAAAATAATAGATCATTTTTCTTCATACGTCTCTCTTCAGAAGTAAGCACGAATATAAGTAACAGGGTATGAATAGGTTACTTTTTTAACAGGGATAAGATCAGATTACTTTTTTTAACAGGGATGTGATCATATTACTTTTGTATTATTTTGTATTATCTTAACAATAATATGTTTTGCGATATAAGCATAGGCTTTAATGAAATACAAGTAATTTTACAGTAGAAACATTTTTTATATGTTTTGATAGATTGTTCGAATAAATTTGTATTATTGTGTTAAAGAAAAACATAATTGATTGATTGAACAAGCCAATGATTTCAAATAATTGTCTATGGAATATATGTTGATCAAATAGTAAGGTTAAGGGTATATCAGCTCGGAGTAGCCAGTATACTAAAACAAAATTAAAGGTTAGAATTAATATTTTCTTTTCAGAAGATTTTTGATGGTGCTAACTGTGGAAATCAAAGTGAAATATAGTTTATGAGAGTGATAATATTTTCTAACATTTAGTATTACTTTCTATTTTAATTTAGTTTACTGATATTTATTTACGCAATTACATTACTCATAATTACCTTGATAGATCTTATACGATTACCTATTGATTAATTGAAGGATTGGTGATGAAGTGTGCGTCAATTGCCAAGGTTATTATTCCCTGTAAGTGTAGTGCATGTTCAAGTTTCGAGAGGAAGGGATGATCTTCCCCGCCAGATAGCGAAATTGGGTGCCGACCACCCTGTCCGCATGCGGGGGTTTCCCAACCAGGTATCTCCCTAGTATCACCCCAGTCGTGACAAGTTCTCAGCTCCCGACCGGTCTCTCGACATGTGTCGTAGTGTGGTTTATGTAAGTGGAAGTAAATAAGGGATGCCGATAGGACAAGGAAGAGCAAGGGAAGATCGCGCGCGGTCCATGGACTGCTTGTTAAGGTACTGCTCCGGCATTCACCTGGTGTTGATCAAACAACCACGGAAAACTACCGATCAGAGCAGCCGAATAGAATTTTCCTACAGATAGCATCTGAATTCGACTTAATCCTTAACTCTAGCCAGTGTCGAAAATCCTGCTACCGTCGTTACCTGAACCCTAGGACCTCCCGATCAGAGGTTCTATAGTGACTTCAATTGATACCTTGATCTACCTTAGCTGGGACGAAAACCTATTAAAACTGTTACCTTCCTTACATGAAGAGATAAAGAAATTTTAGTTCATTTAAAAATAACACAACGTACACAATAAAACAAAATTTATTTCGGAAATGCATTTTCTGTAAAATTGTTTTGGTATAAACATGGTGTTAGCATCTAGCAAAACTAATGTATAATGATCCTGAGCGTTACAAGAGGAGGCGGGGAGCCCGGAGCTCATACGTTTCAATTCTAATGAAATATGAGACAAACTTTCTAAATTAATAAATTGAATCATAATATAGTACACTTGTTTACTAATGAAAACAAAACTATTGGTGCTACAAAATGGCACAGACTCCATTAGTCTCGGCTAGCTATTCGGACTGGCCACATATTCTTGCCAGCTGCCATCAATCGCCGCCCAATATACATATTTGAATTCTTTCTTAATTTTTCGGCTTAATAACATTAGAATGGAAATATTATTTTAATAATATTAAAGAACAGTAAAACCTTGCCCTAAATGGCAAAATTCTTTGAAGAATTTGGAGCAGTTTTTATGAAAATAGCATTTAAGCATTACTGTAACTTGTAAATTTGATCCTCTTTTCACACACAGCTATTACGTTTTCGAAAAAGTCATACGACGTAATTTAAAGCACTTCCAGTTACAAATGCTGGAAATGTACATATTAAAGGCGTAGGAGATCTTACACAAATGCATTATGTTTTAAATTTGGAAAAAAATATAATACAGAAAAAGTAATTCTATGACGTCTTAAAACGTTTGAAGAACTACTTTATAGCCGTTTTTAAGAAAATGGCTGTTTCTGAAAATGTGGAATTTTTAGGTAATTTTCACCGAACACTATTGAGTTTTCGGGAAACTTTATCTTATATTATTTAAAGCACATGTACGCATAAATACATTAATGTAAAGGAATTGTCGTTAATATAAATATTAACAACGCAATATGAGCTCCTTCAAAACCTATTTGTAAAACATTCAGTAGTACTTAATAACCATTCACTGACTTATACAAGATCCATCTAATCCTTTCTGTACCTAATTTGCGGAGTCAGAAAATATAATTTATCTAAATTTGAGTAAATTCTTATAGTTTTCTAATATCTTTATGATTAACGTAAATACATCCCTAACTGAAAATAAATAACTTTCATCTCACAAATGATGTGTGAGTATTCCCTTTCCTCAATGTGAAACACCCTCTCATCCAATTTCGTACGTATTTCTCTTTGAATGACCTTTTCATTACCTGTTGTATTAAAAATTTATGGAAATGGTGAGGCAGAAGAGCAGGCTTAATGGCCTGAGCCTCGCCATCAATAAATACATTTATATCTTTTATTTATTTACATTATTTTGATGTAAAACAGCTCTCCAAAACTGCAGACTTTCTGCCTATAAAATAACAATCAAATGCGGCTAGTTTACCTAATGGGAAGCGCACACCTGCGCGTGTCCGTGTGCGTCCCGGGCGTCGCGTAGCGTCGCGTCGCGTTCGCCGCGCGTCCACTCCCCGCACTGGCCACGCGCCAGACGACACGCGCGGAAGTCACGGCGCCACGCCGCGCCGCTCTGCGCCGCGCCGCGCCGCGGTTGACTCATCCGCTACTTGGCTAGATTCGCTCAATCTCGCAGGGAACGTTATCTGTCGGTTCCGGCTAGGGAGCTACGTGGGTGGACGGTAGTCTTGCAGAGTTACTCGGGAGGAGTATGAGACAACCGGAGATAGTGAGGTAGTTAACCGTAGGGCTTGCTATATTTTGCGAGAAAAGAATATGTTTATCGACTATTTTTGTTGATGTCAGCTCGGAATTGCCGGTAAAGTGGCAAAATCATTCAAAGGTAGAATTAATCTTTGAAACAGCTTTCGTGGACATTGCAACATTGGTTATTGACATTAATAATCACATTTTATATGATAATGAGTAATCACACATTTTAAACATTAATTTTACTTTATATTTCAATTTTTACTAGAGAAAATTGACGAATCCACCGGCTCTACAAGTAACATGTTTCAGAGAAGGAAGGCCATTGATCAGCACTAACCAAACCCTCAGCAGCTTCTGTATTGTCTGGCTTCTTTTTTGTCATCAAAGTACTGTAGTTAAAGATTGGTTTTGAAGTGAGATTAACATTCCTCTTCTTTAAAGCACAGTAAAAGCACAGACTAATACAAACTCGAGAATTTTAAGCCTTTCCGATGAATTACACTTTTTAGTATCTTTGATCATAATGTAGACCTCGTAATAATAATAATAATTAGACATAATAATTTCAGTCATCGGAGTGTTTCCAACTCAACCATACGTTTACTAAAACTGCACTCGACGATGCCGAAAGTATGTATCCACTTCTTTTAATGATGTACAATATTTAAAACTGCCTATAATTCTTCTACATGCGATCGATTTGTTCATGTTTAGGAAATTGCGGCAAGAAAACAACTAGGAAGTGTCAAAAACAAGGCAATATTACTAGTGGCGAATATATAAGAAAAATCTGCTGTAATTGACAAAGTTCAGGACACTGTTTTAAATACTATGTCAAGAAAGGTTTTCGAAATTTCGTGTGGAAATTTTCTCGTGTAAAAAAATGATCATATGTAATACTTTATTTTAAATTCTTATTTCTGGTGAACCACGTATCCGAGTAGACAATGTAACATCTGTTCCTTTAAAAATGCAACATAAGTATTTAAAAGTCTGTGATTACCACTAAAATATTTGGGTTTCGGATAACTTCAATTTCACTTTATACTCTCTCTGAAACAAGTTAAAAGTAATGAGAACAGAAAGAGACACACTATTCCTCAGCGAAGCTAGTGGTGCTATACCAACACATTACTTCCAAATTTCCCAATTTTTTAAAATTCAGAGACTAACGAAAACGAGACCCATGCCATTCTTTTATGCATCCCCAGTTCTATTCGTGAAAAAATTAAAAGAAAAAAGTGCAGCGGTTTATGAGAAAAAATGTTAAAATTGTTTTAAAATTGCCTTTGTTAACGAAAACTACTCATATTTTCGAAAAATGAAAAATGAACTTATTTAAAGATGCATATAGAAAAATATTTTCTTAAGGAAAAATCTCTGTCTTCAATATTATAATTGTAGGAAGACGCCCAAAAATTATTGCACTTTTGCAATTTTCAACAAAATGTGGGATTTCAACGAACTTGAGACTTGCACCATTCTCTTCGCGCCCTGTACACTATCCAAAACAAAGGTTGATAAAAAAAATATGGAGACTTTTCAGAAAATTTGAAAATGTTTTTGAGGCTTCATATAAACTATACTCAATAACCATAATATCCATGTGAAACTACCAAACCTACGAGTTTGTTCAGATCGATGGAGGAATATCGAATTTGGAGAAAATCAACTGAACTGTTTAGGCGCCTGCGTTGACCACAGACTGACAGACGTTTGGCCGTCAATCGATTTTTTGGAATGAACACATGAACTCTGACTATACGACGTGATATATGAATATTTTTTCTATATTTAGAAACCGTGATTATTAAATTTTTCGTTACCAGGGTCCAGCGATAAGAAAATTTACCCTTTTCCGGCGCACGATTACATAACTTTCTCGTCTTAGGAAGTACTTGGTAAGGGCGATAAAAAAAACTTGTTTAATGGCAGTGAAACGAATGGAGGGATGATTGGTGGGAAACGGCAGCTCGTTAGGCAACCCGCACGGCACGATCCGGGTGGCCGAGGCGTTACGCTGCACTGGCGAGCTCAAGGACTCGGGCAAGGACGCTCGACGACGCGTGGAAGGGGAGGGGGAAGGGGGGAGCGGTGCAAGTGAGC